ATTTTCTTTTCTATTTCGTTTTCATTTCTTTCTCGGTGACATATCTAGTCTTCTCTTGTGTTATCCATACATCTAGTACCTGTTCTCTTTCTTTTCTTTTCTCTCTCTCTCTCTCTTCTTTTTTCTTTTTTGTCGCTCACTATATATGTACGTGTTTTCCATTATTTAAAACATATAAATAAAAGACGGTGTGCAAGTGTACGTATACACACACACATATACATATTTTTTCCATTAAAGAAAAGAAAACGAACTTAGCGTTGATCCAAAAGGACAACCGCTAACAAGGTCGTAACATATTTAAAGAGGGAAAAAAAAAGAAATGGAGAGCATCAATGACTTCTTATAAAGGATCGTATGATAGAATTCTTTTCCAGTGTTTTTAATATTAACATTTTTAATTTAGTTAGTCTATCTTAGACCTTATCAAATTCATATTTGAAATTTCTATTTCATTTTTTAGATTTCGTATTTTGTTTTTTTTTTTTTTATATACACTTTCTTCGTTTATTTTTGTTGAATATTAGGTATGTATTCTTATTCTTATTGGATATTTATTTTTATTTATTATACACATTGATAGTGAAAAAAAACAATTTAGAGTAAAAACATTTAAATTTTGTCAAATGAATCTTGTGTATATTTTTGTAATTATCTGTAATTTGATTGTTTTTTGATTTTGTCTTTGTCGTAGAGGAAAATATTTTCTATTAAAAGCTGCGAATAGGAGTAGCTTTGTTTCTTTTTTTTTTCTTTTGAGTCAATCGTTTGTCATTGTACTTTGAGATACTTTCTCATTTAGAAAAAAGTACTAACAAGTACTTTGTAAATTGAAACTAAATATTTAAATGTACTTTGTTGTCGATTTCTATTTAACAAAAGCTGTTTTTTTCTTTTATTTGTTAAGGTAAACGTACTGCTGATCGATTCCTTTTCACAAATCAAACATTTCTGTTTAAATTAAATTTATTTTGGATCAATCTTGATATATATATATATTTGTGAAGGTAATATGAACATTTTTTTCAATTGTAATCTTCGTCTTCGAATTAGACATTGAAATCTTTTCTAGATTTGAAATGAGTGAATCTATTCTTAGTCATATTCTTCTTTATGAAGGTTTATCTTGGGATTTACTTTGGTATCATGACAAAATACGACCATCAAATGTGACAGAGCAATCAAGATTTCTTAATAGTCTTGCTCTTGTTTTAAATGGAAATGCAACATGTACAGCTGTTTATGTTGATCTACATGGTAAAACTGTATATATTGCTCGAAATGAACCCATCACATTAAATGATGAACGATATTTCGATCGATTTTTTCGTCAAATTCGAAGTTATGCCACTGTAACTAGTTTATATTCAATCGATGACAAAGCAGTAAAAGACATTAAAGATCAATTGGATTCTCTTGTATGTGAATATAATTCGAAGAAAATGATCGATTATTTTGGTCGAAATTCTACAGTCATTGATGGATTAAGAGAAATGATTAAATGGAATGCAGATGAAAAAAATTATTTTGTTAAAGAACTTCGTTCAAAGAAAGAATCTTACACAAATCATCCATTAATGACCGAAAAAATCTATTTAATATTGAACAATTACACTGAAGAAGTTTATATGGATTTTTTATTGAAAAAAGTCAATGAATTCTTAACAGCCCGTGATCAACTATTTAAAAATCAAGTCAATCCATCTGAGCATCAGCTCATGTTAGCAGCACGACTTGCAATGTTACTTTATCAATCACGTTTATTTCGATTTATACTTGATCATACGATAGGAACAGCTGATAAAGGTGTTTATTATTTCGAAAAGACATCAGCTCATATACGGGCAGAAAATCTTCTTTTAAAACGTTTACTTAATAATAAAGGCCGTTATGGTGAAATATATAAAAATATCTCATGGAAACTCGTTCCATCAATTCAACAAACATATAAATTAAATATTACTCCACGACAAACATTTGAAAACATCTTCAAAAATCTACCTCATTCATCAAATGAAATTATTTCGAATATTCTTCAAAAGACTACAAGTGATTCTTTTTATAATCAATACTTGGAAAATTTAAAAGAAATTGACGAAAAACCTGTTTATGTTGGTACTGTACATGCCGAAATTTTACTTATCGATTATATATTAAATAATAATATTAAACAGAAAGATTATTTGAATCAAGTTGAGATAGGCATTTCAAAAATGCCTTGTTTACCATGTTCTTATTATATTGCTGCATTAAATAAAAAATATCATTGTTGTTTTTATCAATCTGATGTAGCAAATGGCAAACTTTATGGTAAATGGATATATAGATTGAACGAAGATCCATCTATCATTAATGAAATTAATGACAAATTTATTGAAGAACTTCAAGATTTAATTAAAAAAATATTAGTCGAAAGTGATCGTGATGGTGATCCAAAAAAAAGCGGCGATAGCGACATAATGTTCACTTCAATGAAAGGTGATGAATTTGAAAAACTTGAATATGATCAATTTAATCCTTAACAAGATCTTGGTATATTTTCTTAGATTTTCATAAAATTCAATCTATTCTATTGTATTTTTAGAGTGGCTGTTAATGCTTGTGGGCAATTTCAAATTTTATTAACATTTTTTTGTTAAGATCTTCATTATGTTCTTTTGTTTTTTTTTCTGTTGTCTTTTATTGATTATTAAAAAAAACTTCATTGAACTAATTGTTTGTATTCATTGTTTTGATGTTTACTCTGGTGAAATAAGTTGTTGAGAGAATATTGGTGAAGAAATTGTTTCCTCAGAAATGATTTACATAACATATTAATGTAGATAATTCTATGATATGATCGATTGTAAGAAAGCATTGTCAATGTCCATTTATTTATTTATTTTTTTCATCAAAGAAGTGATAATCTCTTTGCTATGAATATTGAAAGATAGTGACACAGTCATGCGACATAATAAATGTCTCCTAACTTAAATAACTCTCGTGCACAATGATAAGAGATTACATCAATATCTATCGTCATTGAATGTCTTTATAATGACAAACGTAAGAAACAGAAGGAAATTTTAGAGAATATTAACTGTTCATTATACAGAAAAATCTATATGAAAGATTCTTATTAATTCAATAAGAATTTCTTTCGAAAATGATTAAATGAATTGTTAAAGAGAAACATATCTAGTTGAATTTATTTTACTTTATTTTTTAATTAGAGAAGCTCTGCTTAATAAAATTAGCTAAAATAGAATAAATTTATGTTTTTATTTCTCAATATTTTTTTTTTCTGATCAACAAACATTTGTTATTAGAGGAAAGATGACTAATTATTCTTCAATTGTTTTTCAAGATTATTAATACTTAGGGCAATCGAAAAGTAGTGTCGTCAAGATTTTATTTTCTTATAGTAAGTAAAAAAAATGTTCCTTTTTTTTATGAATAGATAGAGCATCTTTCACTCTATCTTTCTATGCTATTTGATCGATCTTCACTTAATATTCGAATAAAAAAATCTTGATAAGAACTGTTTTTGTTGGAAGCTGGCTAGTGGAATTAAGTAGTAAAAAGACTTATAATAGATGGCAGAACTTTATATATCAGAGTTTAATTCCTAAAGATATTTTATTAAAAAAACTGAATATACCATAAGATGCAGCGTAAAAAGCTCTATAATCTACAAAGTATAGCTTATTTTAAAATATCCTTTTTCTTTTCAAAAAAACCAAAACATCTTTGTGAACCACTTGAACACTACGAAAAAAACAAGAAATTTTTCATGTATCAAAAAATGATTTCTTTCATAGTGTGGAAGGTAGTACACGTAGATTTTTTTGGTTTTTTTTTGAAAAGAAAAAGGATATTTTAAAATAAGCTGTACTTTGTAGATTATTGAGTTTTTCACGCTCTATCTTGTGATATATTCGGTTTTTTTTAATAAAATATCTTTAGAAATTAAACTCTGATATATAAAGTTCTGCCATCTATTATAGGTCTTTTTACTACTTAATTCCACCAGCCAGCTTCTAACAAAAACAGTTCTTACCAAGATTTTTTTTATTCGAATATTAAGTGAAGATCGATGAAATAGTATAGAAAGATAGAGTAAAAGATGCTCTATCTATTCATAAAAAAAGAAAATTTTTCTTTTTTACTTACTATAAAGAAATAAAACCTTGACGACACTACTTTTGGATTGCCCTAAGTAAAAGTTCCTTATTGAACATTTGTGTCTGTGTTCGGTAGTCTATGCCACAATCCAATCAGAAATGTCGATTGTTATGAACTCGATAATCGAATTTTCGTTTTCTACAAAATAAGGTTTTTTTCAAAAACTCGAGATGTTTGTGCTTCGCACTGCATTTCGTATTCGAGTCGAAACTCGAATACCATCTAGTTTGTTTTTGTTTTTTCTTGCAATTCTATGTGAGTCAAGAAATTGCCATGTATTTCTATTACATATATATATATATACATGGGACTTTTTTCTTGATTCGGTAATTCTTTTATGTTGATTTTCAATCATATATAAATTGTTTTACATTTATTGATAAATAATAAGAAATAAAATATGAAAAATTTGATAAATACATTTGAAAGTTTATCTCGAGAAATTTTACTTGAAATATTTGATTATCTTTCAATAAATGATTGTTTTAATTCATTTTATAATCTTAATTGGAAAATAAATTCAACATTAAATTTATGTGGTTTTTCAATTGATTTAACATCAATATCACAACAAACATATAATGAATTTTATAAAAAATTAATATTTTTTCAAATTATTATTATCATATACGTAAATTAAAATTAAGTAATGATTTAACAATAAATTTACTTGAAAATTTTTTCAATTATTTTCATCTTGATGATTTTAAACAACTTCGATCATTAACATTAATTAAACTATTATATATGACATTAGGTAGTTTGGCTTTAATTATACCTTATCTTAAACAACTTGAACATATATCAATTGATTCATATTCATATCCAGATAATTTTTTTGAATTAATTACAAAAACATCATCATCAATTAAATCATGTTATTTACTTGGTTTAGAAATTCAAGAAGAATTATTATTTCAATCAAAAATTGAATATCTTACAGTAACAATTGAATATATAGCATTACTTCTCAATTTTATTAGCTGTATTTCCTCAATTAAAATATCTTAATGTTTCATTACGATCATCATTAGATATAGATGAAAATAGTTTACCTAAATTAAATATTATTTCATGTAAAAATCTTCAAATATTGAAACTTAATAAAATTAGAAAGATCAAATATTAATTTTCATGAAATTGAATATTTTTTTCAACAAACATCATTTGATTATCTCAAATCATTTTCATATAATTGTACAACAAATTCTTTAAATCATATTGATATTATACATTGGAATAAAATTTTATTATATTAAATTATTTATCTAAAATAGAAAAATTTAATTTTTTTCTTCAAATTCCATTTAATTCATGTACATATACATGGAAATCAAACAAATATTTAATAATATACAAACAAATCTTTCTTATTCATATCCATTTTATTTATCAATTAATCATTTATATTATATAATTCATACGAATATTTATCCTAAAATTCATTTTGATTTATCATTTAAATTATAATCCAATAAATTATGATACAACAATAAAATTTTCAAAAGTTAATTCACTTAACTTAGATATTAATTTAATGTTATCATTTACAATATTACTAAAAAATATTAAATATTTACAAATTCAAGGTCAACAAAATAATTTAAAACTTAATAAATATCTTAAACAATGTTCAAATCAACTTGTATCATTAAAAATTTTTGGATTACCAAATCATTTATCTCATATGCCTAAACTTCGACAATTAACTATTCAAAAAGTTATGTTTAATTTAAATATGATATCAAAATTATCATTTTTATGTCCTTATCTTGAATTACTCTACTGTATATGTACAGAAAAAAAAAAAAAAACATTTTTCACTCTCATCTTTGTCAATATCGTTTTTTACTTTTGTATTTCTAGTGACAAAGTTTTATATTGATATTTCGATAAATATACAGCTAAGATATAGAAAATATTTGAATCATTAGTATAAGACAAAAAAAAAAGTTATTCATACGATAATTAATTTAAAATTATCAATTTAGATTTATCTAATTTGTAGCAGAATTATCATAAGAAATATTTTCAATTATTGCATAATCTTAATCGATATAATACTTTTAATTTAGATGTTAACTAATTAACTTGTAAAAATCAAATTCTTTATATTATCGATTAAAAAAAAAACTATCCTAGTTAAGATGATCAATAAATCAAGCAGCTAATCATACATGATAAATGTTTTTATTTGCATTCATTTTCCATTTAAGAGATTTTTATGAAGTGCAAAAAACGTTAAAGTGATGTAATATTGTTGTTTTTTTAAAGAAAATACACAAATTCGTATTCTCACATATAAAACAAAAATAGAAATCACAAGTACAGAAATGAATTGAACAGCAACAAAGAATAAGAGAATTGATAGATAAGGAGGATATGAAAGTTGATTTCATTTCTCTAAACCCTAACTATCATCCTCTTATCTGGAAGATGTATATTCATATACATTAGTGAGGATATTGTGATACTCCATGCTTATTTTTTGTGTTGTTATCTGTTTTCACTCTGTATTTAATGGATTATTTACGTATGATGGTTTATTCTCACTTTATCATCTCATGTTTACGTGATCTCTCTCTCTGGCCTCGCTATTTTCTTCTTTCTCTCTTTCACTTCGAATATAAGCAATGTATGATATAGAAGAAGAATGATATTAGACCAAAATCGTGACAGGTATGACATTTATATAATATTTTTTCAATTTATAAATTAGGTAGACACGCTTCTATGGCTTCGTTAATACTGTTCATATAATTATGTATCTTTTTTGTTTTTCTGCCGTCTTCACTTTCATGCGTCAGCGTATGTATGTATGTATGTATGTAAGCTTTAATCGTTGTTTATTATCAGATATACAAAAACAAAAAATTTATCATGAAAAATAAATTTTAATACGCTCACGATCCGGTTACTAGTATTAACACAAAATAATTCATGATATACAGAATGGTCGAAAAAGTTAGTTTACTGGAAAGAAAAACTTCAGTATTTCTGCCATAGTTTGACTGAATGAACTAGGTTTTTTTTTTACCGTCAATAAAGGATTATTTATATTTAGTGCATACTAAAAAAAAGTAGTGACGTAGATATTTCAAATCCTTATAGAAAGCTTAAAGGAACTTTCTCGTTATATAATACGATAGTAAAAGCAATGTTTTACATTTTTTTTTTTCTGATATTTTATTATTCTTTAACTAATATCATAATAATAAAACTTCGATAAGAGCTGGTTGATATGATACATGATGATAATATTAAATCACGTTTTGTCCTCGATGTGTATGCATTTTTTAATATTCACTTTATTTTTCTTATCTCCTCTAATACCTACCTATGTTGATTAAAATGAATCAATATTAATTACTCGAAAGGAAAAAGATCGATAAACAAAAACCTTGAAAGTATAAAATATGAAAGCAATCTAAATAATCGATGGATACATATGATTTATTAATCATTAAATCATGAAAGAATGATAAAAAAATTTACGAATTAAAAATATACATATGCAAGATCGCCGATAATGTGATGTTTTACTGCTTTACCTCAAGAGAAAAATCAACGCAAAAGAAATAGAATCATAAGAAGAAAAAAAAACAAATCAGTATTGATTTGAGAATCATTATTTGCCTTTCATATTCTTTACAACAAATAATGATAAACTTTGAAGATATCCTCTCAAAATCAATTTCCACATTTTGATATCCTGAAGATCAGGATATGGGTGTAGGTGAACTGACAGCACACATTCAGACCCAACGATATCAACACAGATATTCACACCCATATACACTAAGGAACTGATTAGAACAACGAAGAAAAAAAAACCAAAGAGATGCAAAAGTATAATGCTCATTTGGATCGTTCTAATGAAAGATTACTTTCAGTAGTTATTTAGTTTTATTGGTTATGTTACTAACTTTCAAGATTTTGTATTTCGAGCTTTTTCAAGTTGAGATTTTTATTTTTCGGAATTGATTTTTTACTTTTCAAGATTTTACCCTTCGATCTTATTCCTTTCGAGCAATTAATATTCTCTCATTAAAATGCTCAGCTCTAGAACTAAAACTCTATCTCAATGAATATTCAATCATCTTGTATCTTCATACTCATAAAAGTTTCTCATAAATAAAGAGAGAGAGATGATTTTATCCTTTCCAGATGAAAAAGTCAGACATAAGATCCGACGAAAAGATCAATCAAAAATCATACATTCGATATAAATGTAAGATTTTGAATACTTCTTAACATACAATTAAAGCAGAAATCTTACAAGAATCATAACATACGAAATTTACAAGAACAGCTATTATGGGACAAACCTGATCAAATAAGTTCTGTCATCATTGTAACATACGATTTTAAAAATACGAATCCTACACAATCGTGCAAGGTTAAATGCAAAAGTCAGTTTGAAAATATGTGTCTATCAAGTTAACTGGAAGTGTTTCAAAATCGCAAACTTCCAAGTCTAAGACCAGTTGTTTCTACTGTAACAGAAATAAAATATACTTTTCTTGTTACGCACAAATAAATAAATGTACAAACAGAAGAGAATTTTGCACAATGAATGTGCATAGGAAAATCTTGAGTGTGGGTGCGGATGTGCGAAGAGACTACTCAAACCCAAATCCACACTTACAGCGACAGCCATACTCATATCCACATCTCAAATTCGACACTCACAGACTCAAATGATCGTTTCTTATTAGTCTTTTTATGATTTTTCTATTTCTTTACTTCATATTCATGTATTTGTAAAATAAAATATTAATAACACATATACACAAGCATGTGTCAAAAGAATAACATGATAGTACAGCGATAAAAACTAATACAATAAACTAATGGAAAATGAACAACAGATAGAAAAGACGTGGGAGTGAGTATATGGATACAACAACATTTGTGGAAGTAGAATGAAACTAATTTACAGAGAATAATGAAGTTTTTACAATAAGAATATGGGTAAAAGCATATTATTATAAGAATGCAGATTCACTAGTATAGGTCTAAGAGAACAGCAATGGGAATATTGGTTTAAGGATATAGGCTTAGAGCTATAGATATAGATGTATTATTTAATAGAATATTGTGAAAAGTTTATAATCATAGTGATGATGAGTTTAATAAGGTCAGAAAATTTTCATGCTTGTAAAAACGACATTGAAAATAAAAAAACAAATTTTCTATTGAATTACAAAAGCAAGATATTTTCATCGGTGTTTCAGCTTCATGACAACTATCATGTACGAATAAGAATCTCGTTAGAGTTAATTAAACGTTGAATAAGTTCAACGAATCAGAGAAACTACTAGATTACTTGTGATGGAAGTTATCAATTTTAGTCTCCTGTTAACACTATTTTACTTCTATGATACTCATATCATTCATCCATGTAAACAAAATGAAAAAAAATTGAGTTTTATCGATTTTAATTGCGATCACCGTAGAATACATTTTTCTTATGTTTTATTCACGAAACTTCGATTCTTTTTTCGAAATTCTTGACTCTACAAATGATAAATGTTATGTTAGATCAATATTTGGTACTCATACCACAATTCGAGATTTAATATCTAATGGATGCTTATGAATGAAAGACTCACAATGTCGATAAACAGATTAAAATCAATTTATGTATTTTATTGAAGTAAATTAAAGTCTGATTTTAACTTAAAAGAAAAACTTCTTCTTTTAATAAATTTTAACTAATTAAAAAAAGTCGATAAAAATCTTTTTTTTTCCTTTTATTTTATATGAATAATGTAATGGTCACTTCAGTTAGCCTTGTGTGAATGAAAAGTATCATCACATTAAAGAGATACTTCTCAGGACGGTCATTCCAATCGCAAAAACCGCATATTACTACATGAATTTTCACCGTATTTTGTCGTAATCGGTGAATCTGTCTTACGCGACAGTTTTTCGCTAGTACACACTCATCGTTTCTCCTAGTATTTCCACCGTTTTAGGAGTTTACATATAAAATTGCGCTAATGACACTGATTTTCATTATTTTATATTGTTTATCACTGTTTGCTGCATCGTTTTCTTGGAGTTGGGTAATTCGTTTTCATGTGTTATCTAAAACAACTGAAAATACTTCCGTAGTACAGCTTTCAAATTGTTATCAGTTACATGATGCATAAATCTTACTCAATAAAACAGCTCAAGTTCGAACGCGAGACCCATGTGCAAAAATTTCTTTGGCTATGGTTGAACGGATTATTTCGAGAACTGCTATAGATACAGAACTATTGCGTATCAATTGTACTCAGTCATGAACAATTTGATTGGTTCTATTAGGAAATCTTTTATACAAAGAAAAATTGAAGTTAATCAACATCCATGTAAAAAGAACTGATGCGAAACATCGATTCTAAATCGATTAAAATTAAACATGTTTATTCGATTACATACATCTTTAATCGATTATAATAACAAAAAATAATCAAAAATATCGAAATTTCATCGATTATTTTGATTATTTTTGACTAAAACTAATTTCATATTCATAATGAAATCACTTATAATCACTCGAAATTGATTAAAACTAATCTCTCTTTGTGTGATTTTGAATCAGTTTTAATCAAAAATGATTAGAATAATCGATACAATTTCGATATGTTTGATTTTTTTTTACCTATAATAATTCGGGGGTTTTAATAAAATTATTATAACGATGTACAAGCAAATCCTGTCAAAGTTATCAATTACTACGTTTATTTGGTTTTTTCTTTAGATAAATATGAATTGCATGGATCATAATCTTATATCCGTTCAACTTTCATCTGCTATCCATCCTTCTCCTTTAAAAAGGTGTACTGATGAAAATCCAGTATTTAATGAATCCGCTATGAACAATGCTTCTCGTGCCTCTGACAATCAAATAGAACCTGAAACAACTCAGTATATTACTTTGTTTTTAATTTTTTTTATTATAATTCATATATTGCTTTCACTAGGGATAAATCGTACTCATCAAAAGATCAATCTTGTAAAGCAGTATGTGCATTCGCCTTGTTTACAATCATAGCAATGACTATTGGCATAATTACAGTTTGTCTTGGTCTTCCAAAAGAAACAAGTATAATTTTATTTTAATATTTTAATTCAGACTGAAATATTAAACACTTAACGTTAAAAACTATAAAACAAAATGAGATAATCTATTAGAATTCGACGGCTCGAAAAAGTATCCGCTATCGAAGCTCGACTGTGGTTCCGTTAATATAAAGAAGAAATAAGCGATTTCGGTTCACTTCCGAAAATACCACGTAAAACTAAAACCGTTAAATCATCAAATAGATGTGAAAGTTTTAAATCTATTTTGAGAAGGTTTCATTATTGAATTGAGATTAAAGATACCACATATGTCAGTATTCAAGCAAAACAATATTATATGTATATACGGAAATGTTTAATCTTAAGTATTGAAAATAAAGATTTCTTGACATAGATTTAAGAATTTTTATATCTATCTGATGATTTTACAATCCAATTCCTTTAATACTTCCAGAATGTTTTCTTCTACATTTTCGGTTCTGGTTCGAAGAAATTCGAAAATATCGATTCCAGTTCG